CCCCCGCTCTGCACCACCTCCCCACTGCATCCTCCCACCTCCCCACTCTGCACCACCTCCCCACTGCACCCCCTGCTCTGCACCACCTCCTCACTGCACCCCCTGCTCTCCACAACCTCCCCACTGTATCCTCCCACTCCCTGCTCTGCACAACCTCCCCACTGCACCCCCTGCTCTGCACAACCTCCCCACTGCATCCTCCCACCTTCCCTTTGCATCCCCCACTCTGCACCACCTCCCCACTGCACCCCCCACTCTGCACCACCTTCCCACTGCACCCCCTGCTCTGCACTACCTCCCCCACCTCCCCACTGCACCCCCCCTGCTCTGCACCACCTCCCAACTGCACCCCCCATTCTGCACTACCTCCCCCTCCTCCCCACTATAGCCCCCCACCAGCTCTGTACCCCCTGCTCTGCACCACCTCCCGACTGCATCCCCCGCTCTGCACCACCTTCCCCTCTGCACTCTGCGTGCGTGCGTGCACACACACACACTCTGTTCCACACCTCCACCCCCACCTGAATCCCTCCATCCATGGGGCAGGCAGGTGGGGGAATCCAAGTTTGCAGGGGAGCTCAGCTCACAGTGGGATCCTGCCCTTTTCAGGTTTGTCCGTGGGAGTGGGGTGCAGGAGGGTCCTCAGGGAGGTGTGTGTGGACCTTGCGGGGGTCTGTTGGTTCTGCCCTTGGTCAAGGGGTTTGGGATCATGGGGGGTTCCCTATGGAGGGTGAGGGTGAGGGTCTGTCAGTCCCTCCCCAGGGCAGGGGGTGCGGGATCCTGGGGGGGGTTCCCTATAGGGAGTGGGGGGGTCAGTTGGTCCCTCCCTGGGACAGAGGGTGTGGGATCCTGGGTGGGGTTCCTGCGGGGGGGCGGTCCCTCCCTGGGGCAGGGAGTGTGGGATCTTGGTGGGGGAGTTCCCTAGGGGATGTGAGTCTGTCAATCGCTTTCCGGTGTGGGATCCGGGGAAGAGACCCCTAGGGAGGGTACAGTGGTACCCATGGGAGGGTGCTGGATCCTGGGGGGGGGCTCTGTTGGTCCCTCCCCAGGACAGGGGGTGTGGGATTCCGGGGGATTTCCTGGTGTGTGTGTGCAGGGAGCATGCCCCCAGGGGAATGTGTGGGGAGGTCTCTCTCTACCTTCCTGGGGCAGGGGGTGTGGGAACCAAGGAGGTCCACAGGAAGTGTGGGGTCTGTCTGTCCCTCCCCAGAATGGTGGAGGACAGGGAGGCCTGTCAGTCCCTCCCTGGGGCAGGATCCATGGGGGTTCCCTATGGCGGTGCAGGGGGTCCCTGGTGGAGGGGTGTGTCTGGGGGGCAGGATGGGGGGGTCATCACTGGGTCATCTGTGGGGTGATCTGTCTGGGGTGAGGGACCTGATGGGGTCTGTTGGTCCCTGTCTGGGGTGGGGATGCAGGATTCCTATGGGGGTGCAGGGGGTCTGTCGGTCCCTCCCTGGGGCGGGATCCGGGGGGTTCCTGAGTGGTGTGGATGGGGGGGGGAGGTGTCCTATGGCGTGCGAGGGGTCCACAGGGGTCCGGGGGGGTTTCCGTCTGTTCCTTCCCCGGGCGGGGGTGCGGGACCGTGGGGCCCCCGGGGGCGCGGGGGGTCTGTCGGTCCCTCCCCGGGGCGGTCCCTGCGCTCCGCTCCGCTCCCCGCTCGCTGTCACATTCCTGCCGCCTGAGTCAGGCCCGGAGGCGGCGGCGGCGGCACCAGGAAGCGCCGGGCCCGGGCCATGTAACCGAGCCGAGCCGAGCAGATCCCGGCCCGGCGCGGCCATGGGGGACGGGGCAGAGGAGGAGACGGTGGAGCTGCCGCTCACGGACGGTACTGGGCTGGGAGCGGGCCCGGCGGGGCGCAGGGGCCGGCAGGGAGGGAGGCACCATGCCGGGGTGTGGGGGGCCTGGAGGGCTTGGTGCCCAGGTTAGGGGCCGTTCCTGGGCTCGGGGGCAGGTCCCTGGAGCAGCGGAGGAAGAGGGGGGTGCTGCAGTTCCGGGGTGCAGGGAGTCGGGTGCAGTGCCGGGGTGGCGGGGAAGTCGGATGCAGTGCCGGGGTGCAGGGAGAAGGAGGGGGTGGCGGGTGCAGTTCCAGGGTGCAGGGAGTCGGGTGCAGTGCCGGGGTGCAGGGAGGAGGAGGGAGGGTGGCGGCGGGTGCAGTGCAGGGAGGAGGGGATTCGGGTGCAGTTCTGGGGTGCAGTGACAGGGTACAGGGAGGAGGATGGGGTGGTGGGTGCAGGGAGGGGGTTGCGGGTGCGGTGCAGGGAGTAGGAGGGGGTGGTGGGTGCAGTGCCGGGGTGAAGGTAGTAGGAGGGGGTGGCGGGTGCAGTTCAGGGGTGCAGGGAGGAGGGTTCAGTGCCAGAGTACAGGGAGTAGGAGGGGGTGGCGGGTGCAGTGCTGGGGTGCAGGGAAGAGGGGGTGGCGGATGCAGTGCCAGGGCGCCTGGGGCCACTGGTTTGAACTGTGCATGTCCCCTGGGACTTTCCGGGTGCAGGGCCCCTGGTGGCAGTGGTGTGGGAGAAGGGTGGCTATTGGGGGAGAGGAAGTGTAGAACCATGCGCAGGGGGGAGAAGGTGGCCCTGCCCCTCTTCTCCCTACAGCCCTATCGCCCCCGCCTCCATCAGTGCAGGCTCAGCCCCGTGGGTGGGCAGCAGCAACAGGGGAGCGGGGGTGGGGATTAGTCACTGCACCCCCTTCCCCAGGGACTGGCAGCTTGGAGGGCTCACGAGAGCTGGAGGCGTATGAGACACAGCCTGCTGGGGGAGTGGGAGTGGCCAGGGACATGGGCAATGAGGCAGGGTACTACCTGGGCTTGGGGTAGGGCCTGCGTTGGAGGATGGATGCTAGCCAGGGGTGTGTGACATAGGCAATGGGGTAGGGGCTGCATGGAGGGCAGGCTGACCCACCCAACCAAAGCTGGGCACTGGGCTCTCATCCACCACTGGTGCCAGACTCATGCCTAACATGCCCTGAGCTAGGTCCTGCTGCAAGAAAGCTCACACTGCCTGCCTGGGCACTAGGGTCCCTTGCATGGCAGCCCCGGGGTGATGCCTGTTTAAACCCAAGGGAAGCCCTTGTCCCGAGTGGGTGGGGGATGGGCAGGGGGCACTCACCACTCTCAGCTGGGGTAGCCTCCCATCCAGAGTCCTGGAGCCTTTGCAGTGGAGGAGAGAGCAAGAGGGGCGGTGCCAGGTAGCCATCCTGGTATCTGCCACTGGGTGCCAGCTGAGGAGGGTCTCATGGGTGGATTGGAACCTGCCAGGACATGTGAGGGGTTGAGGGGAGGAGGCAGAAGCCTCCTTGTAGCTGCCAAGAGCTTGGAGGGGCAGGGTAGTGCACCCGCAGCCCGGGGGGGG